CTGTATGATTATTTAAATATTCGATTAACTATTTTGTTATTAATCTAAATAATTTGATGAGCGTTTGTGCATATATTAGTGTCTGCAGACTTGTAGGTAGGAGTATGACATAAATATAACGTCAGCTTGGCAGCATCAAAATTTGATGACGTCTGACTTGATTGACGTTTAATCGCATTACTTGTTCAGTGTCTAGTTAGCCTCTCCACCCAAGTCAAGGAATTATGCAAAATTAGAAGTGAGTTGACCTCGTTTTCGCAACTTGGCGTTATTGTCAGGGCGACTTATTAGAGCGCACCTTGTCCGAAGTCGTCGGTCATAGTATTTTTTATCATTCCAAGTACCAGACAGTGGACTTGGTACATTGTTGAGCTTACTTCCATTTCGATTCCACCAGAAGACGATGGTTGATCCCTCTTGACCAGCTGTCGATTGGCTTTACTGTCACATTCATGCTGATGCTGTTTCCGAGACAATTTTGTTCGATTCCGGTGAAAAGGTCTGTCATATGACGAACATCATCAGAGCAAGGTATCATCGTGACAACCAAATTCAAGCTGACGAGTCGAGAAAACTGACCGGCAAATCTATAAAAAACGGTATATATACTTTATATCAGGCCTCTTTGATCAGGCATAAAGTGATTTGGTTAGTTACGATGATATGTCAACTCCAAAGTCTGTGAGTGTGTCCGTCTTCTGGTGGAATCGACCTTGGAATCTGTTCACCAAACACTTTCACTCGAAATGGAAGTAAGCTCAGCAATTATGAAATAAGAGATTCCTCGAAACCCAACTTTTCTTCGCGACTTGGTACATTCTCTGGCGTTTTACCGCTATTCTGGCATAGGACTTCGGACGAGGTGTGTTCTACTAAGTCGCCCTGACAACATGACCAAGTTGCCAAAAGCGAGGTCAGCCAACTTCTATGAATGGAAAGGAGACTGCGACCTTACCGGCAAAATTAGTTTCTGCCCCACCTCTCACCTCTTATTGCATTCCACAATGCATACATTTCAATAGGGCATAGCAACAGACGCGTCATGCTCGGTTACTTATTGCTGTCAGGCCGAGCGGCTAAAGCTGGCTTTAACAGACACAGTTCGGTCAGCTGACCTTTGACGTATGGAACATGAGCTGAGCACGAAATGGAGGTGGCCAGTCGCTTTTTGTCTCTACAATCTGGCCCCTTCCGGCCTCGATGCCGGCCCTACCAACGGAGTCTTTCCACTCTTCCTTTGACAGGTCCGGCCGTGTTCAGTCTGCTGTTGCCCGTCTTCATTGAGCGCTTCACGTGGAACGTCACGCTCCTCTTATTGGCCAGCTTTCAGCTGCACGTCTGTCTGTTCGGCGCCCTCTTCCACTGGCAGACGTCGAGTCCGTCCGCGCCACCTCCGGCTCCGGGTCCGGGTTCGAGTCCCGGTCTGGGTGTGGGTCCGTCGGGCGCCGACGGTGTCGACCAGTGCCGTCTGCGTCAGAAGCGGCCGCTCGACTCGATCATCGGCTGCGATCTGCCGCACGGCTCGTCGATCGGCATTCTGCCCGCTCTGCCGTCGTCCGGCAGCCAGCTCAGTCTGTCCGGTCCGCTGCGTTTCGTCCAGCCGAGCCAAGGGCCGGTCTGTCTGCCGGTCGACGTGTTCGGCTCCACGGCTCTGCTCAACAGTTGCCTGACGCTCAACGAGATGCTGCGTCCGCAGGCCATCAACAACATGCTGGGCAGCATCGGCTCTTTCCTCATCTTCGCCGAGCTCGAGCGCCAGATCCCGGCCGAGCTGCGCGCCAGCCGAGCCACGCTGCGACGCCGAGGCAACGGCCGCCTCATCGCCTACCTCGTCGGGGTCACGCTGTTCTCGTTCACTTCCATGCCGCCCATCGCCTACCTCTTCGACCGGCTCCGGCAACAGGGCTTCGAGGACACGACCATCTCGGTTGTCAGCTCGTTGGGCGGCCTCTTCAGTGCTCTCTCGCGACTCTCCACCGGCCTGCTGGCCGGCATGCTCAAGGTCGACATGTTCCATCTATCCATTTGTTATGCCGCCATTCTGGCGGTTAGCAACGTCACTTCGGCCTTCATGTACACCGGATGGCAGCACAGCATGTACGCCGCCATCTACGGATGGTGCACGGGTCAGTCAAGCGTGACGTGCTCCGAGGGAGGCGGAGTAGAGCGGACTCGGCCAGAGGGCGATTGGGATAGTTGTCAATCGGTAGTCGACATGCGTAAAAAGTGGCGGAAATAGGGTCGGCAGAGGACTTTGGCAGCCATGCCAACCGATACAGCGTGTAGCATGGCTAGATGGCGGTTGTTTTAAGTCCGCTGGTAGACGACAGTATAGCCGAGACGGGAAAAGAAATTGGGCTCGAGACTTTAATTTCGTGTGAAAGTGAATGAAGAAGAGATTTGTTGGCTGATCTAACCTGAAGGTAGTGCAGCTGTTTGGCGTTTAGACACCGTTCAGATCTCCTTTCTCTTTTCAGGTGAAAACGAGTTGACCTTTCGTCCATCATTTTACGGACATCATCAGAGCTGAGACTTATTCTTGTAAAAGTCTCAAGTTAAGATTCTATCTTGCCTCTTATGTAGTCTTATTTAAGCAAAAGAGAAGTTATAGAATGGTCTTCTTAAGTATGCTTATTCTGGTCAGCATCTTTTGCATGGCTGTTCATCATCTCTCTACCTTCAATCTCTCAATCGAGCATAAGTATTGTTAGAGGGACCTTTATTTCGGATGAAACTGCATGAAGAAAAGATTCGTTGGTCGATCTTGCCGGATCATCATTCGATGGGCATCATCATAGCTGAGACTCATTCTTCTAAAAC